ATCCCCTGTTATTCCGAACACCTTACCTCACGTGTCTCGTGATGTCATACAGAGAGAACACTCGTTACTCCACACTGTGACTTGCTAATTTCAACCATTGTCATACATTTCTCAATCAAATCTCTAGGTAAAGTATCGCCACGTCGTCAAGCACACACAACTTCTCACAGATGATCATGGCATTTCTAGAACTTTCAACGACATCATATAAATAGCAGCAAAGTACAATTGCCTTAACGATCACTGTTGTAATTTGTCACTATGAGAATGCCTCGCGGTATTCAAAACATGGAAACACGTATTGTCGCCAATTTGTTTTAAGGGTAAGTCACTTTTATTCCCGTTTGTGATATTATTTGCCAACGACATAACAATAACTAGCTGTTTGTGTAACGCGACATTTACTGCTGACAACACATAACGTGATGTTGTACCAGGGCGTGCACAAAGAGTCGCACATGACATTGTCACCAGACAGTCATCAATGTTTTGTTACTAATTATCCCGTCATCGCATCTCAATTGCAGATCGATGTTCAAGCTGTTGATCAATTATTTACAGACCGCCGCCATATAGCTGGAACATTGCTGAGTGCAGCGTAAAATTAAACTCACTCACTCACTCTATTTTGTCCCTTTGTGGTCACTAGTGAAAGAGTTTAGTTTTACGCCGCCTTTAGCAATATTCCAGCAATATTACGGCGGGTGGGGAATCGAATCCGTGTCTTTAGCGAGGCGAGCGAACGCTTTAACCGCTTTCACCACTAGGCACTTCATGGGCGGATCCAGGATTTTTTAAAGGGGTGTGTGTGTGTGTGTGTGTGTGTGTGTGTGTGTGTGTGTGTGTGTGTGTGTGTGTGTGTGTGTGTGTGTGTGTGTGTGTGTGTGTCTGTCTGTGTGTGTGTGTGTGTCTGTCTGTGTGTGTGTGTGTGAGTGAGAAAAACCCCTGAACCCCCCTTGGCTCCGCCAACGCAATTTTCTTTTTCAAAGTGGTCTTAAGTCATTTTCAAAAGGGGGGGTTCGAACCCCTGGGAACCCCCGTGAGATGAGAGACAACTGCCTGCTCCCTTTAAATGCAAATTCTTCAGTATTCTCAGGATCACTGCAGATGGCTATAAGGCTGTGGCACAGGTCTAAATATAGCACATCACTGACTCTCACTGACTCCGTAGTTACAGTGTATAGCGCTGATTCGAAGCAACATCGCTGTAAAGTTTAACAGCTTCAAACATGTTTCCATTGATGCCATTTTAATTTGTTTAAACCCTACTAGTCTTTGTTTACATTTTCAAAAGCCTTATTCATATCTATGGAACAGCAAAAAATTGATAACTCGGATTTTTCTGTTTTTAATTTTTGCACGAATGCTATTTCGTGGGCCAAACAGCTTCGTTTCTTCTAACACCATTTTGTTCCTCGGCTGTCGCTTTCACTCCACTCACTCAATATCGGTGTTACAATGTCACAATGGGGGTAGAGAGAACTCCGTTGAATGAACGTTTATGCAAATTGTGTGACAGTTATGACATTGGAGATGATTTCTACAGTTTATTCAAATGTAAATATTCAATGAACAAATGTTCGGTCCAAACTACTACTCAAGATGACATAAAAATATCCCACTGCCAAAACATATGTGTTGATTACCACATCACAGTGAAACGTTTCAGATATCCTCTCTTCACCGCCATGATAGTTATTGTTTGTAGCTCATCTGCCGATGTCTGTCTGAGAGAACTAAAGTGGCATTCTTCTGTTCTTGTACAAGTAGACCCGTGAAAATCCGGGTTAGAACTGGTCTTCAGCAACCCATGCTTGTTGCAAGAGGAGACTAACGGTATCGGGTGGTCAGGTTCACTGACTTGCTGTTGATGACTGCATTCTCTGGTCCAGACTCGATTATTTACAGACCGCTGCCATATAGCTGGAATATTGCTAACTAAAGTCACTCAAAACTCTTGTTATAACAAAGTCTGATGATATTTCAGAAGGGCCGTAGCATGTAACCTGTAGTTGTAATTGTTTATATACAAATAGAATATGTAAACCACAGATTCGACCTTTTATTTTTTTTATTCTTATAACATGAAATAATGATATGAAGACTACCAGTGTCACCCAGTACACACAGGCGCTGTGGGGTGACGCTGGTGTTTTCATTACGTCCATACCTCGGGGACAGATTGTTTGATCGCACCTGACGATGAGGTGACCTGTCTGACACTCAGGTCACCCTGTAGTTTCATGTTTCATGTGATATGTATGGATTGGGAATGTGCGTGTGAATAGACATGTCAGATCACAGTGACATAAACAGTGCGCAAATGTAGACGTTTATTAAGTCAGATTATTCTAGAATAAAATGTATTTACATGTATATCAATATTATGAATAATAGTAATAATTAATATGTATATCGACATTCCTTAAATATTTATAGCTGTCACATTAGTTTAGAACACGTAAACTGGACACGTTGGGAGGCTACGTCCATTTGGGAGGTGATCAGACTGACAGTGGACCACCAACATACAGGACACGTCTCACCTCACGACCTCGACATTGAACGACCCATCATTCTGTGTCCAATATCCACTATATATGTGCGCGCGCGCGCGTGTGTGTGTGCACATTTGTGTGCAACAGTGTACCAACTGTTATAATGTATCTGACCATTCACTGATTCAGTATGGGGCAGAGCTGTGCTATATTTAGACGTATATCTCGAGGCTTCAATCCTGTTCTGACCCACTCAATGTAACAGAATGATTTGGAAAGATCTACAAGAATCATCTGCCAAGGGAGGTACATGAGTTGGAGGCTACTACTGCCTCTCATCTCACATTGCATCTCAAGTTACCAGAAGCCCAGCATTGCGTGTGATAACCATATACCCTGGCTGGGCCTATAGTGATGACCATATACCCTGGCTGGGCGGGCCTATAGTGATGACCATATACCCTGGTTGGGCCTATAGTGATGACCATATACCCTGGCTGGGCCTATAGTGATGACCATATACCCTGGCTGGGCGGGCCTATAGTGATGACCATATACCCTGGCTGGGCGGGCCTATAGTGATGACCATATACCCTGGCTGGGCGGGCCTATAGTGATGACCATATACCCTGGCTGGGCCTATAGTGATGACCATATAGTGATGACCACCATATACCCTGGCTGGGCCTATAGTGATGACCATATACCCTGTGGCTGGGCCTATAGTGATGACCATATACCCTGGCTGGGCCTATAGTGATGACCATATATATCCTGGCTGGGCCTATAGTGATGACCATATACCCTGGCTGGGCCTATAGTGATGACCATATACCCTGGCTGGGCCTATAGTGATGACCATATACCCTGGTTGGGCCTATAGTGATGACCATATACCCTGGCTGGGCCTATAGTGATGACCATATACCCTGGCTGGGCCTATAGTGATGACCATATACCCTGGTTGGGCCTATAGTGATGACCATATACCCTGGTTGGGCCTATAGTGACAGGTCGGGTTACTGTTAATGTTGTAGACCTATTCATCTGTGATAAGCCTTGACGAAGTTCCGAGCGTTCGTTGAGATTGACTAATCTGCCTAAGTTCGCGACACACACTCCACATAAGGGGGTTCGAACCCTATCTTCTGCTTTGCAAAGCGACACTTTAATCAATGGGCTACACAGTGCTTCATCGGAATTCACATTCTTGCTGATGATTGCATAAGGTACATAGTTTATATCAGGCTGGTTGGTGTGTTGTGTTAATGTGTTCTGAAGACGGTGGCCGAACTCCGCACGTCATACTGTGGAACCTGGATCTAGTGCATGGAGTGAGTGAGGGATTTCCAGCAATGTGACACAATAAAACAAGAACAAATGTGATGCTATTGTTTATTGAGTGATCATAATTCTGTTTAACTACAAAAACAAACTGTTTGTACTCAGGGCATGGCAAGTCATATATGGTAACTGCTTTACATTATGTCCATTGAGCGGCATGTGTGACGCCTTCGTTTATAAACATACACGACATTTGTCTTCACACGTGGCAGGTATAATATTAGTTGTTTGAACTGACAAAGTCCCAATACGGCTACTGACTTGGCAGCTTCTCGCTCTTCACGTTGACGTCCTGGGATACCCCGAACCGGAAGCGAAGTCCACCCTTCACCTTCCAGCTGACCTTCCTGCCCTGAATGGACATCAGGCCATCGTTGCGCGCGGCAGCCTTGAGGTTATCACCCAGTATAGTTGCAATGTCGCCCTCGACCACCTGAGTGGAGCCGCCATTGCTGACCCTGACGATGACGCGACCGCGGATGTGAACCTCTGCCTCAAAAGTACAGTTATAGTCAGTCTCCGTGATCTTCAGTTCAGCAACGGTCCTCTTGTTGGGCTGAGCCTTTACTGTGGAGTTCAACCCCCACGAGACGGCATGCTTCACCGTGTTCTCGTCCTCACTCGCCACCACGATGTCGCTCCCAAAGCCGCCCGTCATCCCAGAGACTGACGGAGGCACGTCAATGTTGATGCCGACGTTTCCGTTCTTGGAGAAACCCTTTGTGACGAACGTCTTGACTGTGGCTTCAGTTGATCGGTCCATCTGGAACGTGTGATTCTGCACTTCGTCGGTGTTGTTGTCGTAGTTGGAGGTGAAGATGACCTGAGATCTAGCACCGTGCAGCTGGCCGGAAGGGGTAAAGGTTGTGTTGGCAGTGGACTGTCTCACCTTGCTCCAGTCTATCTCCATTGAGATGTTTTGAGAAGTGTTGCCCACTACCCGAGCCTGTCGCTCAGCCCAGTCTCTGATAACAAGGTCTAAGTCAGTCATCCCCATCCTGTATCTGAAACAAACATGACGTCGTTAACATGGCATCATTCTGGGTGTTTAGAACAACTGTGCAGAACCATGTAATCCCGCTGGGCGGGGCTACGGGCGAGTGACGAGATTTGCTGGGCGGGGCTATGGGCGAGTGACGAGATTTGCTGGGCGGGACTATGGGCGTACGACGAGATTTGCTGGGCGGGACTTTGGGCGAGTGTCGAGATTTGCTGGGCGGGACTATGAGCGAGTGCCGAGATTTGCTGGGCGGGACTATGGGCGAGTGTCGAGATTTGCTGGGCGGGACTATGGGCGAGTGTCGAGATTTGCTGGGCGGGACTATGGGCGAGCGTCGAGATTTGCTGGGCGGGACTATGGGCGAGTGTCGAGATTTGCTGGGCGGGACTATGGGCGAGTGTCGAGATTTGCTGGGCGGGACTATGGGCGAGTGTCGAGATTTGCTGGGCGGGACTATGGGCGAGAGTCGAGATTTGCTGGGCGGGACTATGGGCGAGTGTCGAGATTTGCTGGGCGGGACTATGGGCGAGTGTCGAGATTTGCTGGGCGGGACTATGGGCGAGTGTCGAGATTTGCTGGGCGGGGCTGATGGGGAGACACAGTGAGTTACAGCCTTGGTCCTAATGAGCGAAAACTATTGAAGTCAAATCAATAAGTGAACACGGACACATAGTCTCGTTATTGCGTACTGTAAGCATGGAGCTAAAATCTTAAAAAGTACCAACAGATTAATTGCAAGTGAAATTGGTAAGCATAGCTTGAATATCTTACGTCAAACCGAAATACTAGTCGATGACAATATAATTCATCGGTCAGTAACATACGATCCCCAAAGATGTGAGGCGCACTTGCATGTACATTGAAACGATAACATTACATTAATAGTACATATATTATATAAAAGCGGCGTAAAACTAAACTCAGTCAGTCAGACATATATTATTACCAAGCCGATATAGACAGATCGTGGCTGTATGCAACACTCAGGGATGTTTTACCACGATTCGCACATTGTTGTTAAACAATCTACTTTAAACAACCAAGCAAATGGCACTTACCTTAGTTCTGTGAACAATTAAAATATGCAGTATATAGAATAGGTCTGTAGAATATACCCAGGACCTGATCCAAACAACTGTTAAACACTGAAGACATTCGCCGTATTTATACTCTCGGCATAATTTAAAAATTAACCTTGAGTCAAGGTGCCACAGATTATGTTCTTAGCTTCCATCCAATGACAGCCATGAAGACACTGAAGGTTTTGGAATTCCCAGAAATGTCGCATACTTTTCATCAAAGAATATTCAACGAACCAATGTAGTGGGCGTGTAGTGGGCGTGGCCTCTTTCACAACAGGTGGTGTAATGGCCGGTTTTCCCACAATCACCGTTACAATGAGGTGGCTCTATTTATAACCAGTCAATGTGGGTTATGTATGTCATTATACCTGTATGGTGTAGATCAGCTGTTGTAGCCATCCCAACTGCGTTTTATCGGCACTGATTGTTGTTTAATGCCGCCCCATCGATATTCATTATATTTGACGGCGGTCAGACAATGATCGAGTCTGGAACAGTTAATCGAGTAATTGACATTACAAACAAAATCGAAACAGGTACATGTTGATTGTGATTTGAAAGTGCCTCAATTAATCATTTATAATACAAATGTTAATTACAGTATCATGTAACATAACACAACTTAAAAATGCGGACATATGACGCGTTAAGACGGACACTTATTAATCCGGGACATAGGTTAATATAATACCGAGCAGTAAAACGAGGGCGTTCAGTAGGATGAGTAATAGGATATCCAGAAAAGCATGTTTACTCGTAAAATCCGGCAAACAATTACCAGTAGCTGCGGAAAACAATAGATCAGACTGTAGATGGCAATTAGGTTGCTCAGCCAGGTATGACGACGGACCGTTAAGTCACCTGGCATGAAATGCATATGCTGACCACAGGCACAAGGGGTCATCTCAAAGATATTTTATGTTTTTTTTCATGTGTATTGAATATGTCTCCATTGATGAACATCTGACGTATCTTTCAATTTGAAAAAAACCAGTCTGTGTGTGTCAGTGTTAGTATTCAGTGGTGTATGTGTACGTGCGCACGCAGTGTGCGGTCGATATGTGGTATATGTGGTGTATGTGGCGTGTGTGTATGTGTGTGCGTGTGTGTGCATTCAGTGTTTGGTTTGTGTGTGGTGTGGCCAGTGTGTGGGGTGTGTCTATTCAGTGTTGGGTGTGTGTGTTTTTAGTGGTGTGTGTGTATTCAGAGTGGTGTGTGTGTGTATTCAGAGTGGTGTGTGTGTGGTCAGTCTTAGATGTGTTTTGAGTGTGCATTCAGTGTAGTGTGTGAGGACAGTGCGTGGTGTCTGGACGTGGGCAGTGTGGGGTGTGTTGTGTGGCCAGTGTGTTTGGTGTATGTATATTCAGTGGTGTGTGTGTGTGTGTGTGTGTGTGTGTGTGTGTGTGTCAGTGTGGGGATATCTGTGTTGTCAGTGTACGGTGTGTGTGATCAGAGTGGGGTTTGTGTATGGTCAGTGTGGGGTTTGTGTGCAGTCAATGTGGTGTGTGGGTGTGTGGTCAGTGTGGTGTGTGTGGTGTGTGTGTGGTCGGCGTGTGTGTATGTGGTCAGTGTGGTGTGTTGTGTGGCCAGTGTGTTGGGTGTACGTATTCAGTGTGTAGTGTGTGTGTGTGTGTGATCAGTGTGGGGTTTGCATGATCAGTGTTGGTTTTGTGTGTGATAAGTGTGCGGTGTGTGCGCTCTATATGGTGTGTGTGTGGTCAGTGTGGTGTGTGTGATCAGTGTGGGGTTTGTGTGTGGTTTGTGTGTGGTCAGTGGCGTGTGGTCAGTGTGGTGTGTGTGGTCAGTGGTGTGTGTGTGTGGTCAGTGTGGTAGGTGTGGTAAGTGGTTTGTGTGTAGTCAGTGTGTGTGTATGTGGTCAGTGTGGTGTGTGCGTGTGGTCAGTGTGTTTGGTGTATGTATTCAATATGGGGTGTGTGTGTGGTCAGTGGGTGGATGTGTGTGAGGTCAGTGTGCGGTGTGTGTGACCAGTGTGGGGTTTGCGTGGGGTTTGTAAGCAGTCAATGTGGTGTGTATGTGTGTAGTCAGTGTGTTTGGTGTATGTATTCAGTGTGGTGTGGTGTAAATTATTGTGTGTGTTATTATTATTGGTCAGTGTGTGTATGTGGTCAGTGTGGTGTGTGACCAGTGTGTGGAGTGTATGTGAACAGTGTGGGGTGTGTGTGCGTGATCAGCGTGGTTTTGTGATGATTATTATTATTATGTGTCCAATTTAGGGATGGGGGTTGGGGGTCAGTGTGGTGTGGGGTGTGGTCAGTGTGGTGTGTGTGATCAGTGTGGGGTTTGTGTGTGGTCAGTGTGGGGTTGGTGTGTGGTCAGTGGCGTGTGGTCAGTGTGGTGTGTGTGGTCAGTGGTGTGTGTGTGTGGTCAGTGTGGTAGGTGTGGTAAGTGGTTTGTGTGTGGTCAGTGTGTGTGTATGTGGTCAGTGTGGTGTGTGCGTGTGGTCAGTGTGTTTGGTGTATGTATTCAATATGGGGTGTGTGTGTGGTCAGTGGGAGGATGTGTGTGTGGTCAGTGTTCGGTGTGTGTGACCAGTGTGGGGTTTGCGTGGGGTTTGTAAGCAGTCAATGTGGTGTGTGTGTGTGTGTGTAGTCAGTGTGTTTGGTGTATGTATTCAGTGTGGTGTGGTGTGTGTGTGTGTGTGTGTATATGGTCAGTGTGGTGTGTGACCAGTGTGTGGGGTGTGTGACCAGTGTGTGGGTGTGTGAACAGTGTGGGGGGTGTGTGTGTGTGGTCAGCGTGGTTTGTGTGTGTGTGTATGTGGTCAGTTTGGGGATGGGGTTTGGGGTCAGTGTGGTGGTGTGGGGTGGGGGTCAGTGTGGTGTGTGTGTGATCAGTGTGGGGTTTGTGTGTGGTCAGTGGCGTGTGTCAGTGTGGTGTGTGTGTGGTTAGTGGTGTGTGTGTGGTCAGTGTGGTGGGTATGGTAAGTGTGGTGTGTGCGTGTGGTCAGTGTGTTTGGTGTATGTATTCAATATGGTGTGTGTGTGTGGTCAGTGTGGGGATGTATGTGTGGTCAGTGTGCGGTGTGTGTGACCAGTGTGGGGTTTGCGTGTGGTCAGCGTGGGGTTTGTAAGCAGTCAATGTGGTGTGTGTGTGTGTGTAGTCAGTGTGTTTGGTGTATGTATTCAGTGTGGTGTGGTGTGTGTGTGTGTGTGTGGTCAGTGTGTGTATGTTGTCAGTGTGGTGTGTGACCAGTGTGGGGGTGTGTGAACAGTGTGGGGTGTGTGTGGTCAGCGTGGTTTGTGTGTGTGTGTATGTAGTCAGTTTGGGGATGGGGTTGGGGTCAGTGTGGTGTGGGGTGGGGGGGTCAGTGTGGTGTGGTGTGGGGTGGGGGTCAGTGTGGTGTGGGTGTGTGTTGTCAGTGTTGGGTTGGTGGGTGTGGTCAGTGTGGTGTGTGTGATCAGTGTGGTGTTTGTGTGTGGTCAGTGGTTTTTGTGTATGGTTAGTGTGTGTGTATGTGGTAAGTGTGTTGTGTGTGGTCAATGTGTGTGTATGTTGTCAGTGTGGTGTGTTGTGTGGCCAGTGTGTTTGGTGTATGTATTCAGTGTGTGGTGTGTGTGTGGTCAGTGTGCGGTGTGTGTGATCAGTGTGGGGTTTTTGTGTGGTCAGTGTAGGGTTTGTAAGCGGTCAATGTGGTGTGTGTGTGTGTGTGGTCAGTGTGTTTGGTGTATGTATTCAGTGTGGGGGGGGGTGTGTGTGGTCAGTGTGGAGATGTTTGTTCTCAGTGTGGGGTTTGTGTGTGGTCAGTGTGTGTGTATGTGGTCATTGTGGTGTGTGTGTGACCAGTGTGTGGTGTGTGATGTGTGTGGTCAGTGTGGTGTGTGTGACCAGTGTGGTGTGTGTGTGACCAGTGTGGGGTGTGTGTGGTCAGTGTGGTGTGTGGTCAGTGTGGGGTGGGTGGGTGTGGTCAGTGTGGAGTGTGTTTGGTGTGGTAAGTGTGACTGTGTGTGGTGTGCACAGTGTGGGGTGTGTGTGGTGTGGTCAGTGTGGTGTGGGTGTTGTCAGTGTGCGGTATGTGTGTTGTCAATGATGTTTATACCGAGTGAGTGGGCATTGTTTTGATCTATAAGGATTTGTCTGTAAGATCTGTTCAAGAATGCAGCTTTAAACATACGAATACATATCCACATGGGGTGTTCTAGTATCCTGCAGATGCAGATGAACACACACAAAACAGTAACTAGGAACAGTAACTAGGAAACATGCCAATCACTAGGCCGTTTCGGCGGCACTTTCATCTACAGTCTTAACCGAGTGAACACACGTGCACAGTCACTTGTCGCCATGATGTAATTATTCTTCAATCTGTTTATCCATTTATTGTATTGAAAGTAAAAAATAGCGACACGTGTTACGTGGTCACGGCTATAAATAGATACTGGGATTAACCCTCAGCACGTAATCTGCTATAAGTGATGTAGGTATGTTCAACTAATATCACTTTTCACACAGAGCGACCTTGAGTGAGACGCATACCGATGTAAGTAGAATTCTGTTCTATTTCG